AGCATGGGCAGTTGAAGTTCACACATCTTAAAGTTGCCAAGTTTGAAAAACACTGAGGGAGATGATTCTGGGAACTGTTCCATCCAAAAAATTATCCTGTGTTCCCCCCCCGCCCCGCAAAAAATCATTTCCAGTAAGTTTGACAGAAAAGGAATTGCTTCCCCAAAAATTTCAAAGCAGAGGACAATTAAAGTGAAATGAAACCCTATGAAGTGCAGAATTCTCCCACTCACCTGGGTTATGAAAAGGCCAAAGATTGCATATAAGCATCCCATCTTTCACTGTGGAAATCCTTCTGGTGAGCTCTTACAGTAGACCATTCCCAGCTGCCCTCACTTCAACTAAATCCTAAGGCAGGATCACATTGCCAAAAAGCGGAAATTGCATTTCCCAGCATTTTTTCAGAGGAAATAAGATTTGCACAAGCTTAAAATAATCTAAGCTGTTTAGTAAAGTATAGTCATCCTCAAGTTGAGCCCAACTCCTGATCAGTTCATGGACATGTTCATGGATTTTTCTTGGCAGCAATATGAAAGTGGTTCTCCATTACCTTCTTCTGGAATGTTTTCTTGACTTCTTAGTCTACCCTACAGCCTTGGTGGCCTCCCATTCCAAGGACCAACCAGTGCTGACTCTTCCTAATGTTTGAGATTCCTCAAGATCAACTGGATTCTATTGCCTAGCTGGATATGCATCAGGCTGTCTGATCCAAATTAGCAAAGACAACACCCAAACAAACACAAGAAAATAATTAAAAATAAACCACCAAATCACCTGTGTGACATAGAATTCTAGAGCTGGAAAGGGCCATTTAGACCGTTGAGCCCAATGTCCTGTTCAGTGCAGAAATCTAGATTACAACAGTCCCAACAGAAGGTTTTTCAGCCTCCATCTGAACCCATTTAATGAAGAGCAGACCACCATCTTAGTCGAATTGGTTCCACTGTTGGCTGCTCTTATAATTGATTGATTATGTGCCACCAAGTCAGTGTCAACTCCTAGTGACCACGTAGATAGATTTTCTCCATGACAATCGTATTAATAGGAAGATTTATTTTTCCCAACAGCCAAGCAGAATCTACCTTCCTGTATATAATTTAGATCCAATATTCAGTGTCCTGCATTCTAGAATGAGAGAAGACAGCTTTTGATCTTCTATGTGAATCCTGAAGACTTTTATCATATCCCCCCTCAGGTGTCTTTTCTTAAGGCTAAACATATCCATTCCTTTCATCTTTTCTCATAGGATTTAATTTCTAGTCCTCTGGTCATCAGTGTTGCTCTTCTCAGTGTCTACCTTAATTTCTCTGAATCCTTCTCCTTCTTAGTATGGTACCCAGGTCAGGTAACGTCTGATCCAAGCAGAATAAAGTGAAACACTTTTGTCTCATGATCTGGAAATTATACTTCTGTTGATGCAGTCTAAAATTGTATTTGCCCTTTTTGCAGGCACACCGTTTATTATGTTCCAGTAATGTTTCTATAAGTAATGTTACCAAGCCAGGTATTTTCCAACTTGTATTTTTGCACTTGATTTTGTTTCTTTTTTTGTTTCTCTGTTAAATTTTATTTTGTTTCTTTGGGCCCATTCCTCTGTCCTATTAAAATTGTTTTGAATTTTATTTGACTCTTCTAGGATATTACTTATCCCACCTAATATTGGACAGTAAAGATCCAAGGACCGAGAGGTTCCTTTCTTCAGATTTGATGAGGAACTATTGATGAGAACTCTTTCAGTATGATTTTTGAGACAGCTAGGTATCCATCCAGTTGCTATACCATCAAACCCAGACCTGGCTAGTTTGGTAATCTGCATCTCACAGGGTACCTTGTCAAATGCTTTCCAGAAGTTAAGTTACATGGTGTCCACAGCATTCCACACTCTGTTAAGAAACTTACCTGATCCGCAAATGTGATAAGGTTAATATCATAAACTTTGTTCTTAACAAATTAAGGCTGACTTCTGATAATTGCCACATTGCTTTCAATATGCTTATGGATCAATCTTTAGCACCTTTCACAGGTATTAGTGTCAGACAGACTAATGTGTAATTTGTTGGATCTTCCTTTTTCCCTTTTTTGAACAAAGAAACAATACTTCCTCTCCTTGGATATGTGATACTTCAACATTCTTTAGGACTTCTCAGAAGTAATACACAAGGCTTCAGCCCAACCATCAGCTAATTCCTTCAGTACCATGGAATGCGATTGGTCTGGTCCTCAAGGTTTAAACTCTTTCAGAGTAAGGAGGTACTCCCTGACCCTGTTGCTATGAGTCCTGGTCTTCAATCCTGCTTCTTCATTCTGCTCTTCATAGTTTCCTGATGGACCAACTACTTTTTTGTTGTTGTTGTTGAAGAAGACTAAACCACTATAGAAGTTAAGCCTTTTGTTTGTTACCAGTCAGCATTTTGCTATTTTAATTTTCCTTTAATTTTGAGCATCTGTAAAGGAGCCCCTTTTGAGTATCCTTCACTCACTTCAGTTAATTCTGTGCTTTTGCTTTCCTAACCCCAGGACTGCAACTCTAGACTGTCTGTCCTTCTTTTCTGTAATAATACTACCGTGATTCGCTGGTAAAACTAAACTTCTCCCCAAAAATTGCTATTCCAGTCACCAAATGTTTGACTGTCCTTGAACTAGGACAAGATTTCATGGTAGAACTCTTCTCGCCTGGGCCTTTCTCCTGATCAGAGAGTGAAAACACAACAGCCAACAATATTGCAGAGTAGACAGAATGTTGCAGACAAAAGCATTTTCAGTTACCTTGCAAAAGTCAGGTAAATTTAAAGGTGCCACCAGGGACAAAAATGCAATATACATGCAAAAGGACCTCAAGAACGAGGTAGAAAAACCCATTTTTTTTCCAAAGGGGGGGCATCATTCAGGATGCTGAAGGGAAGGTAGCACAGAACAGAATAGGAAAGTCAGACTTTGCAAAGTTAGAATAGAAAATTCAGAACAAAAAATCAATGTCATCTACCCTAGCTTTTTCCAGGCTGTAATTTGCAGGTGTATAACATTTATCATCCCCAGCTTATAAGACCAATCTGTACTGTAGGCCTATAAATATGGAGGGCCAAACTGGTTTACTCATCAGTAAGATAGAGCCTTAAATTGTGCTTTGAAACATAAATGCATATATTTCTTTTTTTGAAGTGAAGACAGAATTGCAATGTAATTCTTACATTTTAATTCAAATGTGGTTCAATGTTGTTTCAAACAATTAAGAATCTGATGATTTACATTCACTAACAAACTAGGGAATCTTCTTTATGAAGCATCACAATAATTATTATGACTTTTCATTTCAGGTAAGCTTCTCCTTTTGAATTCCACCTTCTATTCATTATTAACTTTCTTCAATCAGCGTGCAGGTGAGAAAATTCTGTCATCCAGGGAAAATCCTCCTCCTCTGTCAGTAATATATATCTGTGGTTTCTTGCACCGGACAATGGAATAACCTATGAACTTGCATGTTTCCTTGTTCTCAACAATTCCTCTTGGAGAATCAGATTGATTTACAAATATATTTAAGGCACTTTTGCTTCAATGCTAGAAAAACAAAGAAAGGGGGAATTTAATGCAGACAATACTTCATTGTACTTGAGAAGTTCATACTGACCTGTTATGAACTTCATTGTACTTGAGAAGGTCATATTCACTGACCTGTTATGAATCACACCATTCCTGGTTTTACTGTTTATCTCCACCTCCTCCCTCTGCAGAATGACTTGAATGACTTGAGCATGTGGAAAGTGCAGTAAAGGGGCCAATAAACAACCATCAGGGAATCTAAGATTGGTTTTCCTTCTTTTCCATCTTCCCAGTCTTCTGCCAAAACTTAGTGGTGGAAAGTTGAAAAACTGAAGGAAAGCTTGGGATTAACCCTAGTAGTAGATTTCTTAGGAGGATTCACTGTAGGTAGTCCTCGACTTACAACCATTTGTTTAATGAACATTCAAAGTTACAATGGTGCTGAAAAAAGTGACTTAAGACTGGTCCTCACACTTATGACCATTGCAACATCCCCATGGTCACATGATCACAATTTGGGTACTTGGCAACCAACATGTATTTACGATGGTTGCAGCATCCCGGGGTCGCATAACCACCATTTGTCACCTTCCCAGGGGGCTTCCAACAAGCAAAATCAATAGGGGAAGCCAGCTTAACAAACATGGCAATAAAGGTTATAAAATCAAGCACCACTCACTTAATGGCCACATTGCTTAGTGATGGAAGTTCCAGTCCCAATTGTGGTCATAAGTTGAGAACTACCTGTATTATGGCTGCATTCCTACCCAAGACACATTGAACCCAAAATAAATTGTGTCCTATTATATTTGAGCAAAAAAACCACTGAAATAGATTAGGCAGGAATGTCTACTTACTCTTGGAATAAGGTGATCTCTTGACTTTTTCACAAATATATGCTGCATTTTTAAAGAACCACGGATAGTTTTCAATACAGTACCTAAAATGTTAACCAGAATCAAAAGATGAATAGAATATATATCTGGAGTAAGATGGGCAAGTGACAAATTTGAAATATAAATAAATATAAATAAATAAAATAAAATCATGTATTTCTGGATAGAAGTCCTTAACTGATGTCTAGTAACTAAAGTGACAAACATACTCATCTTCCAAGGAAGAGTGCAACATTGTTTTCAATACTGAGCAATGGGAAATGCAAAATGTTCAGGGCTTCTCGAAGCAAATTCTTCTTCCTAGACCACTGAACCCACAGCACCAGCTCTTCCTTTGCTTTTCATTCCCCAATAGATTTTATTGGAACAGAAGTCCATCTTATTTTTCCTGGATTCTCTCAGAGACCTTGAACTCCCCTCATTCTATTTCTGCTACGATGAAAATCAATATGATACTTCCCTGCTAAAGTCATGATAAATGTATCCAGTGATAAATTCAGAACCAAAGAACACTGGATTCAGAAACTTAGCTGCTGTTTTTGCATTCCCTGAGAGGAGGGAGAAAAAAAATGCAGGGGAGAAGCAACCAATGGGGCCATTTGCCTTACTGCTCCCTGCAACCAAATTTAGTTATGTTTCTCCCAGGCTAAGGTTCAGCCGTGTATTCAAATGGGATATAGAAGAGTAGTCAACACCCATCACCAGCTGCTTCTCCTCGATAAATCTCTCACACACAAGAACCAAGATGTCTGATTGTTGCACACGGGATGTGGCTGAGAGGGAACATATTTGCCAGGCATGTTAAGTGGGGGAGAACAAGGTACCCATTATCACAGGTCCTTTGAATATATGGGGAGATTGTTGTGAATCCTCAAGTATCCTGTTATCCCATTTACTCCCCTTTCGCAAGGCTATAAAAACTATTCTGTTCCAATGAGCGTGCAATATGGATGGTGGACCGGTCTGTCTTCATACAATTTATAGTTTTGTTATTTATTCTTACAGGTTTTATTTCTGCTGTATTGCAAACCACCTTCTTCTGAAGTGGGGTGGTATATTAACACCAGTATAGTAAGTAAATGAGTGAATAAGTAAATCAAAGGAAGCACCTGATCTTCCTGAGTCTCTCAGGATGAGGAAGCTTGATTTCTATGAACCACATTTGTTCTATTAATGCCCATTCATGAAGTCTGATTAGATTCTTTTTCAGATGGTCATCAGATTAAGACCATAAAATCAAATCTCAGGTTGCCAAATGCAGCTGATGTTCTTTTCCTCTTAAGTTTTTACACCCCAAATTTCAGGTGCTGAAATATCTAATGATTTGTCTAGAATTTTCCATGTCAACTCAAGGAAACATTCTTAATTACCTTCCCTCATATGCTCTGAGCCTCTTTGAGGTAGTTAAGGATCCACCACTGCAGAAGTAGATTTGCCTGTGCAGAACTATCTTTGGGACATTTCTCCACCAGTATCTTCTGGTGTCTTCACACCATCACCCAGCCATTGCTGAAGTGACATAAGCCAGGTCTCATTGCTGTATTTTGGAATACCAATGGTTGGGGAACTCTAGAAGGTTTTAGAAGTCACTAATGAGGAAATGACCCTGGGGAGAACATGCCAGGGAAGGTGTTCTCCAGTGGTGACAACTGAAGCTTGGGGCAAATGCTGCTGGAAAAGGCAAGTGACATGTTTTGTGGCAATCTCACTGAAGCCTGACAAGAGCTGATGGGGAAGTAGTGCTTAGAAGAGATTGTAAAGGACAGCAAACCAACATGGATGCTTGGGTTCACTCTTAGAAGCATGGGACCTCTCTTGCTTCATGCAGCAGCTTTGAAGGAGTGCCTCACTCAATTCTTCATCAAAACAAAGCACCCTTTCGAGAGTCTGCCCAGCTGTAATCATTAGATTCCTGACTAAGAACCAGGGTGAGACAGTTTTTGGATTTACCTCATAACTCGATCCCTTGAGTACCTCCGGTCCCTGGTACAAAGGCACCGTTGATAAAACTTGCACAGCTCCATCACGCAAGGATTCAGCTTTTGAACTGCGATGGATGACATGGTCACAAATTTGCCTTTTTTGATGGCCTGTGGGCATTCTAGAGAAAAAAAGTATGTAATCCCAAAGTAGCCCATCGGATTGATAGTTTGACTGCTGTCAAATAAGACATTTGTTGGCACATCGAAGTACTTTCATTTAAAAAGAAAAAGTGTGCCTTTTCACAGAGATCAATGTTCTGGGGGTCTTTTCAAGTGGATGACCCCCTACCACACAGCCATTCTGGGAGCTCAACTTTTCACATACCTTCTAAGTGAAAACCTTTGGGACTAAGCTGTGAAACTGCTCCATTATGGCTTCTGTGGGAACTGAATGAAGAAATGTGATTTCTTCATAATTCCAAACTGATTTGAATTTTTTTTTTTTTAAATAGTCATTTTATGGCAGTGGCTGTTCTCCGGAAGCACTTTCCTTGTACGTTTGGACCCTTTCCTCTTCTGTTTAAGTTGGGTGTGTGGAATGATACAAACATGACTACTTTGCTACACAGAGCTTTTGGATGGGGGTGGGATTAAAATGTTGTACTATACAAACACATATTACAAATACAAAGTTGAAGCTGACTGTGCAGGGTGCTGACTGGCTGCCCCTTGTGATATCACCCCCACTGATGGTTGAATGACTGGGTTTGCACAACAGACTGGAACAGGCTAAAATGGGATTGTGGAGTTCATGGTTCAATGTGTTGTGGGAACCCAGGCACTCTCCTTAGCATGCTGAGTAATTCAGATCAGCATACTGTATGGCTTATTTCTTTGGGCATAGCATCTTAGTGAACAGAGTAACTTTTTTTTTTTAATCCCAGGTTTAAGGTTTAATGCAGGGCTGTGCAAGGATTGAATCAGTCTTTGCAGGGGCAATCAGGAGACACACTCCCAAAGTGAAAAGAAACAGGGTCTATTTGGGGAGGCAATATTAAGAGTTTTAAGAGGTAAAATCGACACCTCAGGCATCTGCAAGCCCTAAGGCATCCATTTCTTTTAGATCCACCTGTCAGTCTTCCCAGGTAGACCAGACAGGAAACATGACCAGATGAGCTAATTCTATTTTATTGCAAGGCTACATTAACAGAACCTTGCAAGTCTGAAAGTATAAATCTCCCACCATCTCTTCTTACAGCCTGATAAGTTAGGAAGGTTCCTTTCTGAGTTTCTTTCTCTGCCCATTATGCAGCTGCAGGCTATGCCCTCTCTTATCTGAGAGTTCCCTGGGTGGCATCTCTTCCCCCCACCCACCGTCTCCCAAGGTCATTCCCACTTACCATTACACCGCCTCACTCTAGCTGGCTCTGTGAGGCACAAAAAAGAATGCTGATTTGAGCCAAGATGTAGTATCCCAAGACGGTACAAATTTGGAAAACAAATTTAGCAGTTTGGTACATAGACAATTTATCAGATCATGATGAATTTGATGATGGTGATGGTGAACTTTATTGTATACTTTCTCCCAAAGGATCCTAGTCCTATTAACAATAACTGGAAATAAATTCCCTTGAACTAACTGGGGCTCCCTCTCAAATTAGCATGCAACTGACGGCAGACCTATTTCCCATCTTTGTAGGCTAATTGATCTTTTCCAGAGAAAATCATTTCCTGATGAATGATCCCTTTGGTATCACAAACAACATCTCCTTCAGTGTAGGAGGAACGTGAAATTCTTCCTCATATCACAAATCTTTTCCCCCTGTACCCTTGGAACTGCTTGGGTTAAACATCTACCTTATCAAAACTCAACTTTCCTCTTGGGTGTAACCTCTTTGGGCTGGGAGATTGGATTCCCCCATGTTCATGCTTAGCATTCTTTATGACTTTGAACCTGTTACATGAGCAGAGAGGTGAGGGAGTGTACCCCCAAGTAATGAAGTGCTGTCGACATATGCCTGAGCTGTCAGAAGTAGCCATGAATTTAATACAAAATGGCATCTAATTACAGCAGAAGAGTAAAACCAGATACAAGACAAAGAGTCACATACAATGCTTGACAAGCTATCAAGGGAAGGGTCTAGAATTATTCCAGTTCTGTCACAGAACAGAGAGTGTGACCTTGGTTGGGTCATCATTTCTTGGATGAACTTATCTCAGAGAGTTGTTGCAAAAATTAAATGGGGGATGAACTGAGCTCTAGGAAGTAAACCAGGGACAGAATCTTTTCTTTTTAATTTTGTCTGAGCAATGCATCAAAATGTGAATTGGAGAACATCATTTTGTGTCCAAACTACAGGCAGGAAACTAAAGCAAAAGGTTTAGGTTTTAGCCACTCATTCTCTTGAAGCAAATAGATATCCAAAACTTCAATTTTTCTTCTACTGCAAATGTCCCATTTTAAACATTCAATAACATGAGCAGTTCATTGCTGTTTTTTAACCCAAATACAATTTGCCTTTAGTTCTTACAAACATGTGTGACATACATTCAGAAGAGATCATACAAGCCAGTCATTCCTGAAATGATGACAAAGGCACTGATTTTATTTGTTTTAATATGATGAGTGAAATATTATGAATGCAAACCCTGCAAAATCATTTCTATTGGGGTGATATCTTACCAAGATGGAATTTTGTTTGGTCACAATGAAAGATCTGAAGCCTACAGGGTCTTTGGGTAGAAGAAGTAAATTATCTCTCAACCCTTTAGAAGAATCTCTCCTGGCAAAGGGAAGAAATAGACAGCTTTATCCTGTAGGTGAGGAGATGTCTGTTCCCACAGCCGCTCCATTTTTCTGTCACATTCTTGAACAGAAGCCAGGCAGAAAAAATCATTTCCCCATATTTGGAGGGTGAGATGGTCAGGTGTGGTTGTCCTGCCTTCCAGGGACAATGGCCTTATTCTTTTCCATCCCTCATCGCCTGTTTAAAATTAAAAAGTCATGTGCCAGCAATGAGCAAGTTATATGCTTCAGTGGAAGAAAGCCAAAATGAACAAGGAAATAGCTGAGAAGAAAATGTGTACCTGCTATCAAGTCCAAGCACCTAGAAGACTTCTCAGTTCCTGTTTTCATCTCCAAGGTTTGACCAGCCTTTTGGTCCTGGTGGAAGTCTCAGAGGCAACATCTTCAAAAGCCAGAAATGGAAGCTCACTCTGGTTTTCTGTTAACCCATTGGCCATCTCCCTGTGGTCAACCCTTTAAGACCACTTCCTCGTAGTTAACCTTTTGGGTTGTGATAGTTCCCCTACACTGCTTTTCATTATGCATGTCTTCATTCTTCTTTTTAATAAATATATGTGGAAGAGAGCTTGCTATTATTTTAAATGACATCCACCTAATCTGTAGGGTCTGTTTAACTCTCTGGATCAGGAGCAGGCAACTCTATATGGCTTGGACTACAATTCCCACAATCCCTTGCTGACTGCAGTTGATAGTTTCAGAGTACAAGGCATAGAATATCAGATTTAAATTACAGGAAAACAGATGTGATTGAATGTAGAAAAGCTTCCTAGCTTTAACAGCAGTTCAACAGTGGAACCAATGATCCAGAGCAGTGGTGGACTCCCTACAATGGATGTGTTGACATCTGTCAGGGATGCTTTAGTTTGGATCCCTGCATTGAGCAAAGGGTTGAATTCGATGACCTCAATGGCATTTCCAATTCTAGGATTGTAACATTCTGTGAAATCCCAGATAAGGTGAAGGGGAGCAACAAGTCTATCCCCAGTCTTTGGGCTTCTCCTTTACTGCAGTGATCGATGACCTCTGTCAAGGGTTGTACTTCCAGAATGGTGGCCTCAGATCCACAGCAGGCCTGGAGTTGACATCACTGGAGGGGGCAGGATTGGCACTATTGGTTGTTGACCTGTAATTTTGAGGAGCTTCAAAGATCATAAGAAAGGGGCTGGGGCAGGATGAAACCCAAGGACTGGAAGATGCTTACTCTGTATATTGAGCTTGGAAGCAAATGGTAAAACAATATGAGAGAATTAGTCTAACTGCTACAGTCACTGTTTCTGCTTCTGTCAAGTTGCTTCTATCAATTTGGGCCATATGTTCCATTCCACAAGTTAGTTATCCATAGTGAAGATCCATAAATCGTGCCATTGAATCTGTAAATCATGCAACAATCCAGTCATGGATAAAGGCACGATCTAGTCAAGTTAAGCCTTGCAAAATAATAGAATCCTCTATGTACCTCTGTTCAGAAATCCCGTTAAGCTTGGTGGAGCTAATTTTTAGGGAAGTGGAATATTATTGCAGCCTTAATAGTGCTAATTCACACCCAATATTTTTCCAAAGACTATGAATAGTGCATTCCTATTTGTACTGGCAGAAAAGATGGCTGTTTACTCTGATAAATCCAAGGCTAAATAGAAGACTCTTGAAATTTCTCATTAGAAATTCAGCTCTGAATGATTTTAAAACCCCTTTAAAGATCAACTCTTGTTGATGGATTGTTGGTTCCTAATTTTAAGGATAAGCTTGCCAGATCCAGCCACCTTTCCCTTTCCCACCACCACATAAACATCTCATAGCATCCATCATATGAAGAGAGGGAAACCCTTAACAAATTCAAACAGGTAATTTTGCTAGATGCTCACTGAGTGCAAAAGAAGTAGAGCATGCTAAAAGCAGGACAGGTGTGTGCTTTAATCTAAATCTTCAATATCTACATTCAACATATTTACACATTACATATCTATTGCATAAATATTATGCAATAGTAGAATCAATTAGATGGCCTACCTGTTGATCGTAGGACACATGACAGTTCCTCTAAATTAATTGTCCCCAACCTGATACCCTCCAAGTGTGTAGATTTGGATTCCCAGAACTCTCCAATTGGGCGATGGCCATTGCCAAGAATTCTGAGAGATAAAGTCCACTCATGTGTAGGACTGTTAGGTTGGAAAAAGCCTGTTTTACATTGTTACAGCTGGCCACACTTCTTTTACAGAAAGGTAAACATGTCTAGAGACTCCAGTTTCATTACACCCTGCTTGGCTTCAACATCTCCGTGAGTCACCCTATTTCTAGTCCTAAAAATGGGTCCATCTGCCTGCAGTGCTGAATTTTCTTGCAATGGACACGTGAGATAGAGTCTGCCAGCCT